AAATACATAGATGCTTTGAATTATAAAAAATTCAGCAGCTTCACTAGAAGCTGATGCTGCATCACTGACCACCAAGTTCAATGAATGAGAACTGCATGGGACAAAAAAAGCTTGAGGGTTTAATTCTCGGATCCGTGTCTGCACTCCTCCGTTTTTATCTCTCACGTTGGCACTATTGTAGCCCTGACCTCTCATGTCAGCTATCGCAGTTCCCATATCTTCCAGCTTTTTAAGAAGCACGTTTGTCATACCAGCTCCTGTAGTATCATCAATGTCAATAAAATTCTAGAAAATGCTCTCTGAAAGTCACCATTGCAGAGACATTTTCACTAGGTTCTGTTGTTGTTACAAAACGCACCATTAAAGTCATTTGTTCCGTACGGCTGATGTCAGGCGTGCAGTCCAAAATAACAGAGTAATATCTTGCTGTCTCCAGATTTGCCACAATTTTCTGTTTGACTTTGTTGCCAGTAACTGTATGATCTCGCTTTGAATTGTTGTTCCAAGGTAGTGGTGTGTGTACATTTCTTGGGTGGTGACTCTTCTTAGATGCTCCTGGAGTACAGCATCAAACTCAGTCATCAGCTCCACAATTTTAAGGAAGTTTCTATTGTTTGGCACATACAGCTGATCTGAAGTGCCACACAGTGCTAGGTTTTGGGTAGCAAGCATTCTCACAATGGCAATGAGCCTTTTCAGAACATTTTGCTGGTAAAGAGACTCTAATTCTTCTCTTGATGCTGATCATCTATGGTGGCCTTTAACCTTAGTCTCATCTCAAGCTCTTTCCACCTATGGAATGCTCTCAGGTGATTTGCTGCCTTCTCATGGCATGCCAGATTTCTAGCCAGATTTTTCCAGTCCTTTGTTCCTGTAGAACCCAATGTGGCTGGAACATTAGACTGGAAGAGTTTGCAACAAAAACAGTATGTAGCATTCTGGGTTTTTGAGTACATAAGCCATGGCCTCTCCACTTTGTCACCATTGGGGATTTCCCACCTTTAATGTGTTGGATGGAAACTTCTGTTTTCATTGTCTTTGGGGAACATGAAGTTTTTCACTTGCTGTGGCCAATGCAGTACAAGGCATTGCTCAAGTGGGTCCACAGTCCTGGATCATCTAGACTTAAGGAACTAAACTCAGCAGCAGCTGTTTCTTGCAGTTCCACCACACTCTTCTCTGATCTGCACTTTTCTTCAGGAATGTGCCTGGTTACATCCATTTGAGATGGAGATATGGATGCTGAAGTAGCTGCCAGGTCACCTGCACTCTGACTAACTGGAAGATCAGGCATCTCCTCACCACTCACATCCTCACTGGGGCCGGAAGGCTCACCGTGAACATATGTATCTCAGGAGAGCTCCTTCCTGCTTAGATAGAAAAGCTTCCTTCCTTTCTTTATTTTTCAGACTGCTGCCCCAGAGGGGCGTTTTCTTCTTTCACTCATGACTGCTGTTCTGTGCCAGCTATAGTGGCTCTCCACACTCCATTGAAGGGGACAAATAAGCAGGCTGGTAGCAGGGCTTGAGTGAGGGAAGATATCAGCGTCTTAAGGACCTAACTGGCTCCTACTACTTCAGTTTGACTGCCTGTTCTCCTCAAGTGGGTTCAGGGAAGCAGCAGGAAACAGGAAGCTCCCTGAGAAGCTGGTGTTAATCATTCCAGGCTCCTGGGGTTGCTAGAGAGGTACATAAGAGGTTCCTCCTCCTCTCTCTCCCTGCAGCTCCTTCTTTCTGTTATTCCCTCTCACCTTTTCTCCTGCCTACTTGTTATGTCTCTTGTGCCCTCCTTCCTCCAGCACAGCACTCCACTTAGGGTGACCAGATGACAGAAGTGAAATATCGGGACGCCCGGGGGGGCGGAGCCACACCAAAAAAAAAAAGCCGGAGCAAAAAAAAAGGAACAAGCCGCCCCGTCCGCTGCCTCGCGCACACTGACCGCACTCTGCGGTGGGGCCCCGGGCGGCCCCTCCCCTGCGCGCGCCTGGATCCTGCCGCCACCGCCCTGCGCCATAGGGTGCACTCAGGCCACGTCCCCCAGCCCCCTCCCTCCGCCCACTCTCTGCCAACTACCACTCGTCCACTCCCGCTCCGCTCGGAACGTACCAACGCTGCAGACGGGGGTGGGGAGCCGATGGCCAAACACACGCCTCCCCTCACACCCCGCACTGGGGCTGGGCCGGCACGTGTGGGAGAACTCGCCCGACGGGACGCCAGGCTACTGGCCCTTTAAAGAGCCGAAGAAGCGTCTAGTTCGCGGCCAGATCGCGGCCCACGTGCGCTGTGCCCACAGGTGCGGCCCCATTGCCCCGCCCAAGGGCCGGCCCCGAGAGCACTGCCTCCACCCCGGCCTCCCCATGGGTCTCCCATCCCTCGCTTTCTCTGGGCTGCTGCTGCAGCATCATCACCCTGCCCCGCATGGGCTACCCAGAGCGGCATTGGACCCCCCCCGCCCTCCCTCCCAGAGCCTGCCTGGCACAGTCCCCCCCACCCACCGCAGTGCTAGCCTCAGCATCCAGCAGGCAGGTCCCCTCCGGGGACCCCAGTGCCCAGCACCCACTTACTGCTGCACTCTGGGTCGGTGCAGCGCTTGCGCTCGGCGAAGTGCCGGTCCAGGTGCTTGGTGGCCAACTAGGCGAGGAGCAGGAGGGAGAAGCGCGGCCGTGTTGCAGCCATGTTCGCAGGGCAGGTGGCGGCGGGGGGAGGAGGGAGCATCCCTCTGGCTCCTGTCCGCGTAGCTTGCGCGCGGGTCGGGTTGAGGGGGGCAGGGGCGGGGGGGGCTCACTGCCCACACTGCCGGCGCCTACAAGCCCCACCCCTGCCTCTGTACGTGCCTGGGGAGTGGGGCTGCAGCACTCTGCAGGCGCCTGCCGGCCAGTGGGAACTCAGCTGCGCTGCCCCAGGGCCAGGAAGAAGAGGTGAGCGGTGCCGGCAGTGCCAGGTTGCCGCGGTCCCCCGATATTGGGACAAAGTGCGTCCCGACCGATGTAAGGTCGGGGCGCGGGACAAGTCCCCTAAAATCGGGACAGTCCCGATAAAATCGGGACGTCTGGTCACCCTAACTCCACCATCTCTGTGCATCTAGAGCAGAGAGAATACATATGCACCAGCAGCAGACACAATTTTATATACTCTGGCTCCTAACAGCGCCCTCCCCCCTCCCCATTGTCTGGCACCTGAGGCCACCACCTCAGTTCGCCTCATGGTAAGGCCAGCCCTGTGTTGGGTTCTCAAGATCTGGAATGCCATGAAGAGTCCTCAGTCTCTAGCAAAGGCCATTTCTAGCTGGCACTCAGAGCACTGACTATTTACGTGTAAAGGGGCTGTGTTAATTGCAGTACAGTACCTGCAAAGCTGTCCCCCATCCTCTAAATGCAGTAAAGGGACTCCTGATTTAATGAACTTCTGATCATTTTTCTGCTGTATATTTGTATGTTCTCCCCTCCCCCCAAAACCAGCAATAAATTAGGATTGTACTTGTACTGCTCTGAGTCAAACTTTAAACTGGATTCTTTTGCAATCATTATAGTTATTGTACAATGTGTTACAGTTGTTAGGTCAAAGATAATTTCAGTTTACAATGTAGTGATGAATGTTCTTAAAAAGTATGTGACCACAATAAAAAACAGTGAATTGAACCCTATTTTGACTTGAAAAAGATCAGGCATGTGTATCCTAATCTCTCATTGAAATAAGACTTTATCCTTTTACCTATTCTGTTTTAGAATCCTGGATTAATATTGCTTCTAGTGAATGTTATTTTGTCCCTACAGGTTTTTGCTGTAACCCAGAGACAAAAAAAAATAGAACGGTGATTAGGAAATACCCTTAAAATATTATATTTATATAAGTAGAATACTCTGTACTTGCTAATGAATCTTTGAGAATTCTACCATGATTTTGAGTTTTCACTTGTACTCTGAAGCTCTAATCAGTGGTAATTGTCAGAGAAACTGTCCATTGCAGTGTCTATATTTATCTTGTTCTCAAAAATGTTTCTTGTAGGTAATAACCTTGATGCTATCCATGATATAACTGTGGCATACCCTCAAAACATTCCACAAACAGAGAAGCACCTTCTGAATGGAAACTTCCCAAAGGAGATACATTTTCATGTCCATAGGTATCCAGTACAGACTCTGCCAACTTCCAGGGAAGAGCTGCAGCTCTGGTGCCAGAAGCGTTGGGAAGAGAAAGAAGAAAGACTCCAGTTGTTCTACGAAGGTGAAAAGTACTTTGATGTAACAGGGCGAAGCATAATTCCACCTTGTAAATCTGAGCTCAGGGTCCTAGTGGTTAAATGCATCTCGCTTCTGTACTGGACGTTGTTCACACTAGCTATGTTTGTGTTGCTGTACTTGTACAGCTTTGTGCGATGGTATTGTGTGACTGCGGTTGTCATTTTTGTTGTGCAACAAAAAATATTTGGTGGGCTGGAAATAATTGAACTTGCACGTCACCGATATTTTAATAAACGACAGAATGGATATGGCAGGAAAACCGAATAACAAGTCTAGTGCTGTTATGGGAGAGGGAGGTAAAGGATGTTTTTGAGACTTACCACAGACTTTGTAAACAGGGAAGTGTTTTTGCATGAGTAATTTTTTTTTTTTACTATCGCCATTATTTGTTAAAGACATTTTGCACTTATTCTGTGAAAAAGACATTCTAGTTACTGCTATGTGTGAAAATGATAGTTTTTATCTTTGAATGTAATTTCTATATTGCTCTTGCAAGCAGCTAGCAACTGCAGTGTACTGTAGCTATGAAACAACTTGCTGGATTATTTAACAATCATTAGGATGTTAATAAATGTGAGGTACACTGAACTTTTTAAAACTGCAGATCCAAACCGGTCAGCTAAGGGAGACAGATCTGTGATTCCCGTACAATCACGTTGGCCTAAACTAAGCACAGACTTGCTCATTTAACGACTAACGCGTGTGCACACGTGCAGTCCTAACATGTTCACATTATTTTAAACCCTGTTCCCCCACACTTCCCCAAACATGACTGAGCATACTGCTACCCAACCTAGCTGAAGAAGTGAGAAACTAGATGGGGATTTTAACTTGGGCATCTCATGTTGTGGTGCAGGTAGGGCCATCCACTCTGCCCCACTCTGACTCTAAATTGATTTTTTGCAAGACCTACATTTCTAGGTTTTGCTCCCTCAATGTTCTGTACGGCTGTCACCTGTGTAATAGCCCTTACCTGTGGGAGACTTGCAGATACTGTAGTACTTAGAGCTGTTCCTTCTGCTGAAGCAAAACCAGCTGGGGGCATGTTGTATTTGCTAAACAACTGGCAGATGTTAACAGTTTCTCCCTATAGAAGAAACCTGTCTGAAAACAATACATATTTTTTGGAGAAGGTGAGAGGTCTTTTATTTGAAGCTGCTACTCTGGCTTTTAAAATGTTTCCCTAATCGTTTTAATCTTTAATGTTTACAGTAGGAAGACTGCTTTTTTCTGTATGCACATCAGTGCAACCCTCTAAAATTCAGCCAGGGTCACAGTTGGTTATCTATAGTTATATGACAAGAGAAGTGTCTCAGCCTATCACAGCACAGGACAATAAAGCTACACTATTTCTCTTCCCAAACGCAGTATCCTTCTTGACTACCCACTCACGTCATTCCTCTTCTACTCAGGCCACTCCTCTGCACAATCTTTCACTGGTTAGACTCTCCCATAGAAAATTTATCCAAGGTCCTCTCCTTTTATGCGGCATTGGTGGAAAGTCAGAGAAATCAAAGGTTTTAGGCCTTTCAAACCCTTACAAGGTAGCGGATGCTGGATTTTTCTGATGAGGCTGGTTCCTTGTCACATAATAGGAACAACATTCATGGCAGCGAAGTATATGGAATAACCAATTCCAGCACTTCAATTCCTCCGCTTGGCTTTGGCGGTCAACCTCAAAACAGTGCATTGCTTTGTATATTCCAGTGCCACAGAATACCCCTTACTTACTAAACACTTTCTACTTGCTGCATAAAAGATGTCTGAAAATGCTTGTGCTATATCAAGGTAATCTGGCTCACTATGTGGAGTTATTACTTTGAAATTTAGACATCTGCAATGAAGAGTTTGTCATGTACAAAACTGAACCACTCAAATATTGGTTCATCATTGCAGACAAATCCTTTTTCTTTTAAACCTCAATACTAGGCATGTTCTTCAGTGCATTTGAATCTAGGGCCACTGTTGGATGAAATTGCCTACCTATATTTAACTGTCCCTTCCAAGGTGACAGCTGTTTTTAATCCCTGCTCATAGCGACTAATTAGTTTTTATGCACAAGTACTTGAAACCATCTGTTTTACTCCATGCATTTTTTTAAAATCTTTTTTCTTTTCTAAAAATGGCTTCTAATTGAGGCTTAAGTCTCGTAACAAACTTCCTCTTGTTATATTTAGAAATGCATGAATAAATAGCTTGATGGCTGGCATTGCGCTGTCATGAATGCAGCAGCAAAGGACAGTCTTTCTGCCCTGGGGGGGATGTTTTGAATGCAGTTCCACTCTAGCAAAAATATGGTTGCTGTTTACATTTAAATCCCATCGTTTTCTTTAAGATAACACTCAATTTTGGTTCAACTCCCTGCACTTCCAGCTATCTCACATCCTGCAATGGAAAAAAAAAGTCTTTTTTGTCTAATTTAAAGGCTTTTTACCTGTCCAAGACTTGGGCTCTTCATTCACGCCTGTAATAACAATGATTGCCTGCTCCTAGAGCCGTAACGTAGATCCCAAGTGAGGATTGCAGAGCGCAGACTTCACATCACTAACACACAGACCAGCTGCATTCCTTTCTGCCCTTACATGACATTTGGGATGTCATAAAGTGAATCCGAAACCTAAACTGGAGTCTTGTTCGCTCACATTTCTACTACATTTTTTAAGTCTATTTTGTTACAGAGTTAGAATTTTGAACAGTGGCCTTTAAAGGGACACTATACATCCCATTGAGGCCAAATTTGAAATATACCCTTACTGTGGGAACCAACCTCCAAATTGTAACTTGAATTACTCTCTCTTTCGTGTATTCACCATTGTGTTCTTTTTTTTTTTTTTAATGAAGAGCCACAAGTTTAGTGGACTGGTAAATACTACATGTTAGGATTGCCTGACCCAACAACACAGAGTTGCACAAGTTAAGTAAAAACCCCACTTCTCAGAAGCATAGTTGACCTCATTTCTGAGACTGATGTACAAAGGTGGAGATTAACCAAAAAGCCACATCTATTTCCAGATCAATTAGAGACGTAAGAAGGAAAAATTGTTTGGAGCCCAGGTAATAAAAAAGGAGAAAGTTGGTGGGAGGCAGGAGACACCTTGCTCAATAGATCTAATCAGAAAATGGGGAAAACTCTTTGGGAAAATGTTCATTTTCCCCTTCTTATTGAAAATTCACTTTTACCTGGCCATCTTCCAAGAGACGTTTTTTTATTCCGCCTTGTTTGTTTAGTTGAAACTCCACACACACAAAGTGCTAGACCGCTCTCTTTTTAACATCTCTTTCCTTTGAAATGTTTTCATTACTGCTGGATTGGAAGGCTCTGGTGCTCTGGGAATCAAACACACTGATCTTTCAAGGGAAGCATATTGGCAGCAAGAGACCTCTCACTTCATTAGCACAATTTCTCAGAGCTACTGTTCTCTTTCCTCCCAATAGCTATGCCCTGGTGCGTTTTATAGTCACTCTACTGGGTTAACATGTCCGTTAGATCACACATTTCTTGAGATAAATGATGTGCTTAACTTGCCTTTAAGGGTGCTGTTCATTTTCCTTATTCAAATGTTTTCTTATCAGAATTGTGGATCTGTTTCTCTTTGCTCAGACAGAAGGTTGAACTGCTCAGTCTGTGTTTGTCACCCAGCTCGTTCATCGGACTGAGACTGATCTTTTTTGCGTTGAACGTTAGTAACACAGGAACCATACGTGGGTCTGCAAGGTGTTGTGTTGATCATACTAAATGTAGTCTGTAATTCTGTGCACTACACCAATCTCAGATGTTTCCAAAAAGGAATCTGTGTTTTTATAGCTTCATTTTATAAGTGCGTTGTATGAAAACAAACACTGGGATACAACAAATCTACAGAATAGCCTTAGTTTTCAAAGTCCACCGATACGTTAGAATGTTTTAGCCATGTATCTGTTACTTTCTGTACAGCAACAATAAAGACTTAGCACATTTACATGTTTCATTTAATTGTTTTCTGAGGTGTAATATCAGTTCTATCAGGTGAAAGTATTCCACATACATCTCTAAGGGTACGTCTTCACTTACCGGAGGGTCCGGCGGCAGGCAATCGATGTTCTGGGATCGATCCCGGAAGTGCTCGCCGTCGACGCCGGTACTCCAGCTCGGCGAGAGGAGTACGCGGCATCGACAGGGGAGCCTCCCTGCCGCGTCTGGACCCGCGGTAAGTTCGGACTAAGGTACTTCGAATTCAGCTACGTTATTAACGTAGCTGAATTTGCATACCTTAGTCCGAAGTGGGGGGCTAGTGGGGACCAGGCCTAAGGGACAAACCTTCTCTCCAGTCCTGCAGCCTTTTATTAATGGAGAGTGATTGCTATTAAGGGCCTCAGTCAATAGGGTATGGCTGTTGAGATATTTCAGGGGTCGGCAATGTTCGGCACGCGGCTCGCCAGGGTAAGCACCCTAGCGGGCCGGGCCAGTTTATTTACCTGCTGACGCGGCAGGTTCAGCCGATCGCGGCCCCCACTCGCCGCGGTTCACCGTCACGGGCCAATGGGGGCGGCGGGAAGCGGCACGGGCCGAGGGATGTGCTGGCCGCGGTTTCCCGCCGCCCCCATTGGCCCGTGACGGTGAACCGCGGCGAGTGGGGGCCGCGATCGGCTGAACCTGCCGCGTCAGCAGGTAAATAAACTGGCCCGGCCCGCTAGGGTGCTTACCCTGGCGAGCCACGTGCCGAACGTTGCCGACCCCTGCGATATTTCATTATATACCTTCTGCGGCGTGAGGGAGACCCTGGTGCATGTGTATCTGGAGTGCGCCAGGTTGCAGCCCCTATTCCGAAGAGACACGATCTCACCTAAGGTCTTCCTTTTAACTTGTTTGTGGAAACCCAACACAAAAGAATACACAGCATCCCACAATCACAGATCCAATTTTTGAGTTTTGTTCCCAGGACTGAGACACCAACACTGCTAGGAAACAGCTGTGGCCTGGAAGAACATGCTGGGTATCGGCATACAGATCTCGTTTCAGACGTATCCTATGCATGAAACTTCAATATGTTTTCACTGTGGGATGTTAAAAAGGTCTTTCTTCTTGTTACCAGTAGCATCAGGGACAAAAAATAAGTCTGACAAAAGGTTCTAAAATTATTAAAAATTCATTTTTAATTCATTTGAACTCATAATTAATTTACCTGTAAAGTCTCAGAAAACTAATTCAGTACTCAAAGAGTAAGTGCTTGAGGAGGATACACTGTGTTCTTTGTATGAAACAAAGGGGTTGAATCTCTGTGGCAAGAGCAAAACTCATCCTTAGCCGCAGCCATGACTGGCAATTCCACACTAGAAGTGTCCTGCCCCCTCAAGTAGCCATATACCAGATTGAAAATGGAAAGAACGGGGACCTCCTAGTTATTTTAAAAACAGGTATAAAATTGAATGACTTGGGACTTTTTGACAGGTTCAGAGCATTCAAATAACACAAAGCAATTGCTGCTACACCGTTGACTGGGTTGTCACCTCTGAAAAGATATTGCTACCACCCTTTCAGCGTAGATTCAGTTTCAAGTAGCATCTTGGATGCTGTAGGTCATCTGCTTCACATGACATTCAAGAAAACGGATGTAGCCCCGGGGGTCCCGCTTTCCACACACCCAAACCCTTCTTATTGTTAAAATTCCTTGCTGCCATCCCAGTAGTAGATGAGCCCTTCAATCCCCAGGAGCGTCAGCTCTGACTGAAACTGGTTAGGTCAGACGTGCTTCCCAGATGAATTTTTAGATTTTGGTCTCTGCACACAGGAGTTGGTTGCTTCCCGACGAGGGAGGAAAAAATTGGTTCCTATTAGTTGCCCAACCACAGGTATGTGCAAGAGTCTGCAGCCAGCTGGCAGCTAAACTCCTACAAAGGTGACAGCGGGCCTCCACATCCATCTCTAACTCGGTTGGAAAGATTGCCTAGATTGTCAGGACGAACAAGCCACTGAGACTGACAACTGTCCTGTATTCTAAGTATCGCCAATGGGGCTCCAGTAACATTTCTTTTAGTTAAACAAAAAACTTTGCCACAGCATTAAATATGAAAAAGGAAACCAACCTTTTCCTTGACTTATTGCAAGGGAATAGGGCATGAGCCAGACACTCTCTTACCTGTTCTTTTCATGCCTCACTGCTAGCTCAGAATTGTTCCCTATAGTTAATTCCCATGTGCTTTGCATTCTTGTTTTACATGGTCCACAACTTCCCTTGGGAGACTATTCCACAGCCTCATTGATTTCACCATTAGGAAACTTTTACTAATAATCAGCCTAAATTTTCCTTTTTAAAAAAAAATGTAATACTTGGCCCTACTTTGTAATTCTTTATACTATGCCAAGAGAGTCTTCTCTCACCTTTGGTCAAGTAGCTGTCGACTGTTATGTTTTTGCTTAGTCAAACTGTACATATAGAGGGCTCAGTGCTGCTGTTCTTGAAATCTCTGTCAAAACTCCCAGTGACTTCAGTAGGAGTTGGACCAGGTCCTTAATTTTTACATATATTTCCTCATAAGTCAATCTTTCCAGCCCCTACATGTTGCTTTTTTTCTCGGTATCCTCCACTGTGTGTCTCTCTGTAAGGTACTGAGGTTCCCAGAACTGTGTGCAATATTCTAAAAGCATCCTCACCAGAACCAGTGAGAGAGGGACTATCTGACGCCCCCAGGATGTGCTACCTCTGCATGGGAGTTGGGGACAGGTGCTAGCAGGCCTGGCACTCCTACAACAAGGATTGCTCATCAACACAGCATCAGGCGGTGAATGCATTTTCTTCCATTCCTGCCCCGAACCCTGCCCAAGTATGTATCAGGTTAGTGGGAGCAGATCCTGGGTTGGAGGGAAGTGAGAACATGTGGAGACCAGTGCTGAGTACAACATTTCTGGCGGCCAGAACCAGTGGGCCTGAGTTTCCATCTCACCTTGTCTGTTAGTGGGGAGGAGAAGAGGGCAAGAGAAAGCTTCCCCTGGTCTGCAAGAAGAACTAACCCCCTGGTCCTTTAGAGGGAAGGACCCGGCAGGACAAAAGCTCCCCACTGCCCTGGCTCCCGCTCCCCATCCTCTAGCCATCAAAGGGAGACAAAAGCTGCTTTGCTCCATTGTGTCTTCATGGACAAGGATCCAGGGGGAGGAGGAGGAGAAGGTGGATGGAGCAGGGAGTGAGATGCATTGTGGGGTTAGAAGGAGAAAGCATGAATGACGCTACCTGCCATGTTCCTCAGTGACTGGACTCTGGAATAACACCCCGAATGATTTCGTTGCCCTTACTTGCCTGCAGTAGTCCCTCCCCTTAAGTCACTTTCCCTGCAGATCAGCCAGCAAGAGGAATGCTTGATGATGAGCAAAAAATACTCTGCTGGTTAGAAAAATGATTAATACGATGAACTAAACAGATTAATAGTTAGAGCTACTGAAAAAGCAAAGTATGGGGAGGAAGTGAATGAGGTAATCAGTTGCAGAGGAGGACGAAAGGATTCTAATTCTGCGTCTGGCCTTCATCTTGTCTGCGGTTTTGCTGCTTCTTTTTCAGCCCCAAATTTCATTGGCCTCTTGAGAGGCAGAGGGGTCTAGTAGACTGGGAACACGCCTGGAGGCCAAAACCCCCCCAAATTCTAATCCCAGTTCTGCAATCAACTGTGTGACCTTGGACAAGTCACTTGGACCCTGCTTCAACAGCACACTTAAGCATGTGCTTTAATGTTTTGCTGCACAGGGCTGGACTTTAACATGTGCTTAAAGTTAAGCACCTGCTGCTCTGCCTGGTTTAATTGAGGCCTTAATTGCTCTGCCTCAGTTCCACCATCCTTAAAATGGGGACAAAACCAATTCCAGAAGTGTCATGAGAATTCATTAAAATGTTCAAATGCAGTGAAGATCCTGGTAAGGATTCAAATTGTTTGTCTTGGCAGTTCAATTCTTCGAGTGATTGCTCATGTGTATTCCACAGTAGGTGTGCATGCTTGCCACGTGCACCAGTGCCAGAAGTTTTTCCCCTAGCAGTACCCATAGAGGAGCACCCCAGCAATCCCTGGAGTGGCACCTACATGGCGCAGTATAAGGGGCGCTGCGTGCTCCCCCCACCCTCAGTTCCTTCTTGCCAGACAACTCTGACAACTTCTTTGAGTGATTGCTCATGTGTATTCCACAGTAGGTGATTCCAAGCTATATCTGTTGGAGGTGGGTAGGAGTTCCCAAATTCTCGGGACGGAGCACAGCCCTGCCGAACCCTGCGTCCTCCCTGGTTTGGGAGACAATCGCATAGTGTGAGGTGAACATGTGAACTGAAGACCATGTAGCAGCCCTACAAATGTCCTGGATGGGGACCTGGGCCAAAAAGGCAGCTGACAAGGCCTGCGCCTAAGTAGAGTGCACCTTCACAATTGGTGGTGGAGGGATTCCCGCCAGGCCATAACAGGTACAGATGCACAAGGTGATCCAGTTGGAGAACCGCTGAGTAGAGATCGCCGACCCTTCATGCGCTCGGCCGAGGCGATGAACAGTTGCGAGGACTTTCTGAACGGCTTAGTTCACTCCAGGTAGAAAGCCGGAGCCCATCTCACATCCAGCGTGTAGAGGTGGCGCTCCTCACTGGACGAATGGGGCTTGAGGCAGAGGACCTGCAGAAAAATGTCCTGAACCATGTGATGCACACCTACTGTGGAATAGACATGAGCAACACATATTGAAGAACACCAGTTACGGAAAAGGTAACTGTCTTTTTTTACACCTAACAATCTAGGCAATGTCCCTTTCTATTTGCTCCTTTTCCCCCTCTTTTGGTAGGCAAAAACATGTTCCTGCCTCTTGTATGCAATGATTTGCACAGGAAATTGGGGGCGAGAATAATAAACTTTAGCCCATTACATTGTTACTATCTGACTTGGAAAAAAAAATCTGTAAGATGCAATATTATTAGCAAGATCTGGAAAGAAAATGTCAAGAGGAGAGGAGGCAGGGGGC